CCTAATCTTGAATTATTCCAAAATTGATTAAAATTGTTTTTAGGATTCAAAAAGCACCGCCAAGTTTATACCCGTTTTTGAGTTCACAACAAATCGCGCGAAAAGGGGGTAAATGGGAAATAAAACCCGGCCCAGGGAGATATTACGTGAAACACCCCCGGTGTAAAATGCGCCATAAACAGCCTACTTTCGTTTTTAAAAGCGTCGTGGGGCGACCTTCATTCAAAGGCCCCGATTATACTTATTATTAAATTAATCGAAATACTCACATTCGTCGATTCTTTCGGTTTAAACGAAACAGGGACGGTTAAAATATGCTCGGGGGGGAGGGGAAGTTGAACGACGTTTGGTGTAAAAAAAATTTGGGATGTTTGGAGTTTCTCGAGGGTTGGTTTAATCGGGGTGTCTAAATAATAACGGATTAAAATAAAATTAAAAGAATTACAAGAAAAAACTTACGTTGAATGTTTCTCAACTCCAAAATGATTCTTCTTGAATCGCCGATAACCGTTGGGCCGAAATCGATGTGTTGCGTGTTTAGGTTGTGGTTAAAATCGGGCATAATCACTTGACACGAAGCTTTTAGGAAGATTTCGTCCGATTTTTGAGACTCTCTGATTGAAAAATAAATTTTTTTTAATGAATTATTTGGTTTTATTACTTACGAATAAGTCACTTTGATTGTAAAGGTTGTGTGGATGACGTAGGGTGAGAAATCTCTCCATAAAATCATTTCGGTTGGGTAAAAATCGAACGGGGTTAAAATTATTTCGCTTTCATCGACGGTTATTTCCGGTAAGGGTTCTTCAATTTCTTCTGGAGGTGGCTTTTTTTCTTTAACATCGGTTTCTTCAGCTTTACCTTTTTTTCCTTTCTTCGCAGACTTTTTAGAATCCTTTTTTGATCCTTTCTTGGATCCCTTTTTAGACTCCTTTTCCGCTTTAGCTTTCGCCGCAGCCTCTTTGGCTGCCTTTTCCCGCTTTCTCTTTTCAATAATCTCATCAATTTTTGATTTCATTATTTCATCTTTACGAATTTCCTTGGCTTTGTCTTCGATTATGTTTTGTGGTATCTCGGGTTTTGCGATCAAATTGATTTGTTTGGTCTAAATTAAAAAAAATATTGTATACTTTATTTTGACATATTTGTAATCTTCATTAAAAATCCTTTAAAATGAGTACAAACACGGCATATTTATCTTCAATATTAATGAAGTTATGGTCAACTTCCGGTTAGAAATGTCAACCTCAATTTTGACATATTTGTAATCGTCGTGAAAAATCCTTTAAAATGAGCCCAAACATGATACGTTTAATTCCAATATTACTCGAGATATAAGCAACTTCCGGTTTGAAATGTCAATGTCATTTTGATATATT